ATATATATATACATACATACATACATACATATATATATAGAATTTTATTTATTCATGCTATTTAGGACTTTTATGATTATTATTAGAACTTATTTTCGTGATTCCCTTCACTTGTTAAATGGAATACTCCCCCCTCTTTCTCTCTCACACACACAACCACAACCTATCATTCCAACTCTCCATCTCTTTGGAGCTGTAAACCTCATCAATCCTTGCTCTATTGAAGGCCTTGGAGTAAATTATAGGAGAAAGTTTGCACCTTTATCATTGTAATGCTTCTAACTATTCTTTAAACATTCAACCTCAATTGATCAATTTGCTCATTCACGGTCCTAGTTCTCTTAGGTCTTGTATCAAAGATCTAGGTAGTGAGATTTAAAGGGCTATTTGAAAGAAATAGAAATTCATGGTAACATGAAAGGAAGGAAATCTATTGCATTTACAAGAAGAATAAGAGTTTGTTTCTTTCGGTTGTGACTGTACGAAATCTCAGCTCAAATGCTGCTGTTGAGAAACTGGTGTTTTAGAAACAGTTGATCTATTTGAAAAACACATTTTTTAAAGTATTTTCTGTTGAATAATGCCTGTAATACCCCTCTGTATGCATTATGTAGATATCATATGTATTTTCAATGTATGTAATCACCTTTTTTAATCGTACTATCCAAATAAGTAGAAATACAAAAGTAAAGTCAAAATTAAATTATTGAATAAAGAGAAGACTAAATTTTAAAAATATCATTTTATTTATGAAAATTGACATATATTTGGAATAAATCCAATGATATTTACTCAAGTTATTATCACTCACAACATCTTTATTATGAAAATATGGAAGTAAGGTGAACATTAACCCAATTTTCTGCCCCCAAAATAGTTATACAAGCATGAGTTCAACATAATATCTTTAACATAAGCAGTTTCCCAGCCAAACCTACGAGTTTGCTTACCAATAAATTCTACAGTAGTACAATTTGTCTTTTAAAATGCATTTACATCACCAAAATAAATAAAATGCTAACAACAATACTACGATCACAAAATTAAACAAGAGCAAGGTATTGACAAGAAATTTCAAGTCTTCGAGATTCTTCTTCACCATATCATTAGGATGCATTTCTGTCGTCATCACCTCGCTCTAATATTGCATCGCTCGATTTGTTCACCCATTGAGAAAATTTGCAATCTTTGTTCGTTAGATTTTTGAGACAACTGTAGAATTTTCGACCATCTTTAAAACCTTTATGAGTCATGAAAATAACACATATGAGGTTGCAATCACAAAGTATTTGTTTGATGTTCTGTCCCCTTAGAGCTTGTCGAATAGCTTGAGCTCATTGTCGATAATATATTCTTGTAAATTAATGATTAGCACATAAATATTAAGGGAGAAAAAATGAATATGTAAATAAAAAATAAAAAAAAAACTTCTGAGTCAGCATAAACAAATTTCTTAACAGAATTCCTATATATTTGAAAAGGGAGATTTACATACATATCACCCAATTCTTATGTTTTAACATTATTGCAGCCCAATAATTTCCAACCAGGTAAGAAATTTTGAGCGGCCCATTTAATTCCAACAATTGAATCGTATTATGAAAGCAACCAATTAATTGAAGATGAAAGACAATGTTGATGTCATATCAAGTAATACCACTCTTGTTCCATACTGTTTTTGAAAGGGAAATTTACATAATTCTTATTGATTTACATATCTCACATCTAAACTTCAATATTTACACACACAACATTGTGCCTATGCATGAAAAGATAAATTTGACTATTAAAAAAAGTGGTAATCAGTACTATTTTTGATATGATGCGAAATAATTTGGTGTTATGCACATAAAAATGCAAGTTCTGGGGTCATATAGTAAATCTGTAAGAATTGTGTGCTATGTATGTAAATGCCCCTAAAATAAAATAAATAAAATAAATCTGAAATCACTTTGAAATAACTGCTTGATTCAGAAGTTTCCTCTGCATAAAGACCACATATTGTGCAAATTCGTGTGATAAATGGTGCATTAAGTGGCTGAATTATGCAATCGTTTCAAAGTGACTGAAGCAATCTTTGGTATGAAAAGCTTAATTTGTGAATGAGAGAAGATTAGGACAGACTCAAACAAAGGAAAATAATGTTTCAGGTTTTAGATTACCCATCTCTCATACCTTCCTAGAGAGAAAACCTTTGTTATATCCTATTTACTTAATGCCGATGCCTCATATGCAGAAATACAAAGAAAAATAATGACAGGAATAACATCTTTAATTTATGAGAATATATCATAGTGATATTTCTAATCTGACTATTTTGATTTGATAACAAAACCTTAATTTTAAAAAAAAATAATGAGCTTTGTAGCTTCACAGAATTCATCAAATAGTAGTCAATGAATGAAACCCAAACAAACACTAAAAATAGCTACCAATATGCTACTTTCTGTCAACATAATAATTGCTAAATTAACTAGTAGTAAGAGACATTTGCATAGAATATTTGCAAAATCTATAAAGGGCTAAGTTTCACATACACCGAGCATAATTCTTCCATAATTACTGAAGAAATGTGTATCAAACACTGGAAAATGCAGTGGTTAAATTAAGGCAGAGACAGTGAACAATATATCATTGTGACAAAACGTGCTTATGCATTTCATGCCTTGAAATTTACAAAATTGTAGCACATTCAAAATATTCCATAGACCATAGTTCAAGGTTTTGAGTAGCGGTGTCAAAGTGGAAGTTCAACTGGAGAGTTTAAGAAAAAAAGGCAAAAACAAAAAGTAGTTACAAGCATCCAGGAAGTCATAACTTTCATCTCCAGTAAGCAGTAGAATGATTTGTCAGGCAAACTTCATTCCCTAAATGGGTTAATATCTTGCTTATCAAAACTTCCTTCTTCAGTTCCATCACAGTTACATCCGAGCTTTCCATTAAATACATTCGGCTTCATGTAACTCGGTCATCTCTTTAGCATCTTCTCCATCACTCATGGTTGGACTGGCGATATCATCATAGTTTGTAATTGTTTGCCCCATTCGATATTCATATGCTTCCGGAAGTATCGATTCGTTCCCATCTGCACTTGCGAAATCAACATCAAGCTGTGGATGATGACGTCGTGTGTAATTATGGAGAGTCATTATTGCAACGACAATTTTAACTTGTTTTTCAAAAGAATAAGTTAATGTATCTAATAGAATGACCTTTTTATTTCTTCCAAACACCATACACTCTCTCAGTGACACCCCGTAATGATGATTGACGCATATTGAACATTTCTTTTCTTCTTCAT